TATCCCGCATGGAGAAATATATATGTCAGAAATATATGTCGCATATATAATGTATGTGCCGCATATATTTACGCAAAAAAAAATATGTCAACATATATTTTTCACATAGATGCTGACATATATGCAGAGATACATGCTTACATATATGTAGACATATATGTAAGCATGCACTGAAAAAAAAATTTCTAAGTTTGAGAATTTTTTTACTCAAATCAAGAAAGTTGAATTTTTCAAAATTATTTTCTTGATTCAAGTTAAATTTTTTTCTGTGTATCTCTAGACACTTATATGCGCACATATATGTGAACATATATGCACGCATATATGCGAACATATATCTACGCATATATGTGAACATATATGTGGACATATATTTAGCGCAAAAAAATATATGTGAAAATATATATTTGTATATATTTTTCGCATATATATTTTTCCATGCGGGAAGTTATTACTAATAACTAATAACATATATAGGTATACTTAATGCGTAAGCTGACCCGCAACATACCCCGTGAACGTTTGAATGCTCGCGCCTAAAAAGAAAAAGTTTGCGCAGAATAGAGGTTGCGCACCAAAAACGTAACGAGGTCATTCATCAGTAGATTTTACCTCTCATATTTTTCTCATACCGGGCGCCTTATATATGAAAATCGATTCTTAAGGAGTAAACTCCAAAAACCCGATTCCCAAATTCTTTTAGTTAATGAATACTTATTAACTATTAATAAATGTACTTTTCTCCCAAACAAATATTTCTTGAATGTTAGAAAATATTTATTAAGATTTAATAAATTAAATAATTGTCTCCAAATAAAGTAAATTATTAATAGTTAATAAATCGTTCTATCAGTGTACATTAATCAAAATGTCATTAATCTAACTAGCTTTCTTTTATTATAGACACCTGTAGGACTTGTTAAAAGAAAATATTGGTAAAATCTTTTACCAGTAGAACAATTTGAAAAGCCAAATTTAGCTATGGCTTACAAACTCACACCAGCCCACCTAGATCCTAAGCTATATCAAAAGATGTCTGTTCCTTTAGCTTATCAGGTAAAAATTTACAATTTATCATTCCATTTCCCAAATAACACTAAATAAATTTCAATATCAATAGTTATATTCACGGGAAGTTCGTTACGCAATGACGGTATTAAGAGAAAATGGTAATGAAAAATTTGAAGGATCAGAACCCACTGAAAAATTTACTAAAATTATTGATGATGGTATTCAAGCAATGACTTCCCATGATGCTAAAAATGCTCTGTACTTTAAAGATACTTGTGAACAACAACAGGTAATAAAAAATATAAAAAATATTGTTTCATTAACAAAATTAATCAAACTTGTTTGTTTAACGATGACTTTTTGCTATGGATATCATTAAACCCTAAGAATTTTATGTCGATTGTTGCGATGGTAAAAAAATAATTCTATTGGCAAAATAAATTAATTCATGATATACGAATTTATAATTATAATAATTAAAAAAATGAGGATTTTACAGAATTTGCAATAAACATCAGAATTTTAGTTAAAAATTAACAATTTTTGCTAACCAATTAACAAAAGAGTAATTAACTCCTAAAAATTAACAACTATCACACTAATGGGATTGTTGAGAAAAATTGAGAACACTACTTAGGCTCTATATTTTTTTTTTTTTTAGTTATGAAGTGAATTCAATAGATGGGATAATTTTTATTAAGTTTTTTTAGTATTGATCTTAACTTAAAACTTGACAAATTTTTAAATTATAAAATTCTACGGGTAATTGAAAAAATGGAGTAAATAGTTTAATATATACTACATTAGAAAATTTTAGCTTTCAAAATTTTTTTTGCCTAACTTTTATACTTTTAACTTTTATCTACATATTTTAATATACTAATAATTAATAATATTAAAAATATAGTGACTTACTAATAATATATGATTATTACTTACTACTAATAATAATTACTTTTACAAATATTTAGAAATGCTTTCATTAACCTTTAAGTATTATTTTGCTTTCAGACTCAAATTAATTTTTTTTTAATCATTATTTTCCGCTTTAGGCTGCTTCATAAAAATTTTAATAACTATAACTAATTTTTATTTTGCTTTCTAACCAATTATTAACTTCAAATAACAAATCATAATAACAAATTAATTGAGAAAAATTTCAATAATTTACAGATTTATTCCAGCTGATGGCGGATTTGACTGCTTCGATTATATTCTGTTTTTATGAATACTTTATGAATCAGGAATCAATCAACAAAATCATTAAAACCAAGGAAGCAAAATTCAATCTATTCAATCATTTTCCTGTTTTCAGTGGATTTTCAAACATTTCGTTATTCAATGAAAAATTGAAGAAGACAAGTTGGATGAGTAATAACACAAAAATCACCCATAATCGATGCTGGCTGGAGATAATACATTATAAATAATACTAACACTTTATTACACTACTGTTCGCATTACTAATTCCTAAACGCTTTTAGAAATTTATATCCAAGTAGAATAGTTGCTTATTATTTTTATGACGCTTCCAATTATTACTTTTATCCTCGATACATTTTTATCAATTTTTATTTACATGTTTTTCTCCGTACATAAATATTTTCCAAATTTTCATTTCCTTTTACCTGTAACACATAGGCAATTCGGACTTTATTGAAGTTTTTAGAAGATTGGGAAAAAATGTATACTCACACGAAAACTCCTAATGCTTCTACTCCAAAGAATTCCACTCCAAAAAATACAGTTTCAAAGAAAATCACTCCTAGACAATCTATATCAAAAAATTCAACCCTAAATCAAGTAATTCCACAAAATACGATCTCAAAAAAATCAACTTCTAAATCCACATCAAAGAAAAATTCTTTTCCAATATCTGCTAGCACTATATCCGGTTTTAACGTTACCTTACGAGCAGTACTACAAATTTTATCAGAGTTACACCATAACTATGGATATAACTATCTCATAACATCACGTTTGACTCAAGACAATCTCGAGGTGATGGCCTAATAGAAGTATTCAATTCGCAGATTTGTATTACCATTTTTAATAATAATAATATAATTATAATTGTGTATTTTACAGAGATTATTTTCAATATGAGATATTCTTGTGGTGCCAATGATTACCCAACACCCCGGCAGTTCGGTCAAGTTTTCCGATTATATTGCTGCAATGCCATGATTAAGCCTCCAAAAGGCTCAAATGTTACTCGAGTTGAACTGCTCCAAACTCTGATGAAAACAGAAGATTCGTTAAAAATGTCTCGTCAACCACGAATGGAGTGGTTAGAAAAAATTGACAAGATGCTGGAAAGGACTGTACCAATTGGTGATATTTGGAACGATAATTCATCCAACGATGCAGATGGAAGTTCTGTGAGTTCGTTTAATGATACCGTTGGAAGTTCTGTAAGTGAGAATGACCTCAATTATACATCTTGCGTATCAAGAATTGATTTAAACGCCTCTGAACCATTAACTACTGAACCAACATCGAGGATTCAAACAACTCTAGAGTCCCTCGAACATCATGATTATGATGTTGTGTCTACTAGTCGAGAAGTTCAAGCGTATATGGCTGGGTATATCGTAAGAAAAATGAAATTGAAATGTAAGTGCTCATCATGCTTCTATACTCTTCAATCATCTAACGATGAACCGAATTGTCGTGATCGGTTTATTGACTTGATGGAAAAATATGGAGGACTATCGAGGGCTTCTGACAATTTATTTCAACTCACCATGCAATTAGAAGCTGCTTTTTTAGATGTTGTTGGCAGAGTAGGGTTAAGCCGTGGCATAATATATAAAATATTGGATAGAATTGAAAGTATGCTACCACAATTATCGTTTGTTGGATGTGGGATCCATCAGCTCGAAATAACGAAAGATATCATCGATTTTTATATAACTATGCGACTATATTTTCTGGGTAAAACTTTCAACAAAAGGAATCAATTAAAAAGAGAAAAGATGAAAACTTTAAAAAAAAACTTCGAAATTAGTGACCTAAAAAATCTTATTGAAATAATCCTGAGAAACCCATCTTGAATTTTAATTGATAAGATTAACATCTTCTATCTGATGAAATAAATAATAACTATTTGTATTTGTATTTTAATTATACTTTTTAGTAGATTTCATAGAAATCTAACTATTGCAATGGTCCTCATGACGAAACTTTTTAAAAATTTTGCTATATTCCGACTTAACTCGACGAGTTTTACTTTATAATTTCGAATTATTATTTCTATTTGAAACTGCTGCCTCATTCCCCCACCGCTTTGGTACATATCGAGCACCAGCGCCCTCTTATTTTGGTAGCCCTATTTGCATACATGGAGTTCGTGCTCCTTATCTGGTCTCCATGGTTACTGTACTCGTCGACTACTATATTCTCTATACATATACACACACACTACGGTTTCAATGACTAGCATCTGTTTTTCGTACCCCCTCTCCTAAAAATAATCCTCTAAAAGTAAAATTGGTTTTAACCCTCTCACGGTCGATTCAGACTGAGTCGTACTTTTTTTCCCGGAGTGGGGATAGCCAGTCGCGTGAGCGGACTAACTCCCGCCACCAGATTTTCATGCCCGCCGCGTGCTCACTCAGGGCCGTATTTATTGTTTTTATAGCTTTACCGTGTAAATTATGAAAGAGGTTATTGTTTTCATTTAAATTTAATAATAATTTAGTGCAACGGAAAATCAAAACGCTAATTATGATAGTGATAGCTCTGGCTATTCTTTTAGTGACGAAGATGAAGATTATAAAAGTAATAATCAAGATCAAGCTTTCACAGGATGTGTATGGTCTAATGAAATAAAAAAAAGCCCATTCGGCAGCCGAAATGGAAGTAGATTTCTCAAATAAAGACAAATTTGTTTTTTGTGAAATAAAATTAATAATAATATGTAACATAATTCTTTAATTAAAGAAAAATTAAATAATTAATTTAAAACTATTTAGAACTAATTTTGTTCAAAATAAACATCTGCTTGATTTAGTATTATAATAGTGTGAATTCAGTCAGTAGAATTCTAGTATCAACTTATTGAAAATGTTTCTATTTAATATTAAGTTACAACTATCAAAGCAAACAAAACGACTGCAAGAGCAAAATTTCATAGAAACGAACCCAGAATAGAAATTTTTTGGCCTGGAAATATATGTGAACATGTAAATTAAAGCTTTTTTTCCCAGCTTTTAGATGCATTTTACAGAATTCAAATATCTCGACGCGTTTAAAAGTTATTTGAAGGAAAAGCGGTAAAAATATGGAATTTTCGAATTTTAAAAATTTTAAAAAGCTGTAATTTCTAAATTAATTGACCGATTTGGCTCAAATTTGAACTCGACCTTTGTAATCGTTTATAGAACAAGTATGTTGAGTTTCATTGAAATCCCTAAAGAATTGTAGACGCTATAGTGCTGACAAGCCCCGCGTTATATCGTATATATATTAGGGTGGGTCAAAAAAAAACTTTTATTTTTTTTTTTTATTTCATACACAAAAACTTGTTCCTAGGCACCTTTAGAAAGTACTCACCCAGTATGGGCTCTTAATATTCTAGTTGGATCTCTACACATGTTGCCTGAAGAAAGCAATGAAAAAAATTATTTAAACTTATTTTTAGACAGAGAATTTTTTGAAATAGCAACAGAACAAACTAATTTGTATGCCCAACAAATGAACGATGACGGTCATTCAGACAAAGATTGGTCACCTGTGACAATTGAAGAAATGGAAGCATTTCTCGGAGTAATTATATACATGGGTATAGTGAAATTACCTCAGATCGAAATGTATTTTGGAACAGACTTTGTTGAATGTCCAATGATAAAAAAAGCAATGAGTTATAAAAGATTCAAAGCAATAAATCGTTATCTTCATTTCAATGATAATAAAAAAATGCCTCCATTAAAATCACCTGATTACGATAGGCTTTACAAAATCCGCCCTTTGTTAAATATTTTAGACAAATTTAAATATTTTTATCGTCCTGATCGTGACCTTTCTGTTGATGAAGCTATGATAGCATATAAAGGTAATTTTTCGGCTAAGCAATACATGAAGGATAAGCCAACATCATGGGGTTTAAAAATGTGGGTAATTGCTGAATCTAAAACCGGCTATGTACTTGACGCTAAACCTTACTTGGGAAAAAAAGAAGAGAAAAATAAAGAATGGTTGCTTGGTGAACAAGTTGTTTTGAATTTATCTGATTTTTTTGGATTAAAAAATCATCATTTATATTGTGATAATTTTTTTACGTCAATAAAATTATTTAATGCACTTAGTGAAAATAATATTTACGCCTGTGGCACGATCAGAACAAATCGTAAAGAATGGCCGAAAGAATTAAAAAATCCCAAAGATTTAAAATTAGAAAGAGGTGACATTCGGCAAATGCAATGTAACAGAATTACTGCTACAATCTGGCAAGATAATCGGGCAGTTTCGATTTTGTCTACCAATTGTGATCCGACTGATACCGTTGTGGTAAAAAAGTACTCCGAGAAAGATAAAAAATACATCGATTTTCCTTGCCCTAAATCTGTTGCTAATTATAATGAGTACATGGGTGGAGTTGATTTAGCTGATCAAAAAAGAAAGTATTATTCTACGAGTCGATCTTCAAATAAATGGTGGAAATATTACTTTTTTTTTGTTATCGACGTCTGGCTTGTGAATAGTCAAATTATTTATAACGAAGGAAAAGAGAAGCCAGTATCACAGTTGGAGTTTAATAAAAAAATAAGTCAACAACTTATTGGTAATTTTTCTAGTCGAAAGAAGCAACTTGCTGTTAAAGTAGGTTCAGTCTATGAAGGTGAAAATTCGAACTCTCACATTTTAACTAAAATTAATGGGCCACACCGCTCATGTGCTTTATGTTTGAATGAAAAAAGGAAAACTAAAGGTGGGTATTTCATTCAATCGTCATATGAATGTTTACAGTGCAATCTAGCTCTTTGCAAATTTAATTGCTTCTCAAAATATCATTCACAGGATAAAAAGTGAGTATAAATATTAACGTATACACTAATAAAAAATTTAACTTGACTCAAGATCAAGAATCTTGAACCAAGAACACCATTTTAAAGAAAATAAAACTCTCGAAGCAAGAAGAAAAATTCTTAAATCGAGAAATTTTTCTTGAACCAAGAATTATATCTTGACTCAAGAAATTCTTTTTCTTCAAAATAGTGTTCTTGGTTTAAGATTCTTGCTCTTGAGTCAAGTTAAATTTTTTATCACTGTACAAAGTTTTATTACATAAAAAAATTAAAGAATATTCATAACAAATAAATTATAATTTCTGTACCAACAAAGTTGATAAATAAAAAAAAAAAACATTTGTTTAACATTTTCTTGTCAGAGAGTTATTTTTTAAGAACCTTTACTATACGCCCCTGCGCTCCGCTCACTGGATTGCGTGCAGTCCCCTTGCCCCGCGAGTGGGAAAAGAGTGGGAGAAACGCCCAGAACCGTGAAAGGGTTAACTAGAGCAATGATAGAATATGCCATCTTGGGACTGCTTGCTGCAGTTTTTCAAAGAATGATTTCTACTTATACAAAGTTGGCGTGAATAAAGTTGACAATGGGAAAAATTAAATTTTTTACTAATTTAGGAATTTTGCTACAAAAAATTAAATAATCTTCATTTTTATTTTTTTCGTAAACGACAAAAATATTGAAAAATTGCAAGATCTATGTTATAATTTTATTCTTGTAGTTTTTTAAATTAATTTTTGTGTTGTTTTAATATTTATTATGGGTGAGAAATCATAATAACTAAAAAAAAATTTGTAGTGTAGGGAAATTTAATGGTAATAAACAGAAAAAATAAATCTACATAACATTATGAGTTAGTATTTATCAATTTCTTACGTTTCCCGCTATAAAAACGGCTGTAAATTCATTAAATATTGGTTGGATGACTTTTTTTTTATGAGTCAGTCCTTTTTTTCTTCCTACCATTGGTGATTTGCTCGAAAAATTAAAAGAAATTTTATTTCTTTTAATTAAATATATGTATATATATGTATATATACAATATATATATTCTTTTAATATTATGAAATCGGAAGTGTCCAATTAAAGCAGGAGGTTTAATTGGACACTTCCGGCCAAAATTTGAATTTTCAGCGGAAGTGCCCAAACTAAACTCCGGTTAAAAAATTCTATGAAAATCAAATTTATCGTCTCACCCCAAAATATCTTAGGAAAGGCCTAAACACAGCTGATTTCAAAAGCGGAACTGAAAATTCCAATTTTAAAAGGTTCTTCACGGAAGTTACATTTTGGCACACCCTAATATATATCTAGGGTTCGGTTCCAAGCTGCGAGATGGCACTAACATCACCACCTCTCGTAAGCGCTCGTCCCCACGCCTGTTTCAATATATAACAATTTCCAACTCCTACTCCACAGGCGTCCTGGGCCGAGACAGTGACACGAATGGCCTAGCTGATGAGTGTGTGTCACTGTCTACACGAAACGCCTTACCCAATCAAATTCCTTTTCTACCTTTCCCCCTTCTTCCAACTCTCTGACTACACAGTCAAACAACAACACACAAGCTCCGTAGTTAAGCTCTGTTTCAGAGCTGCTACATTCCAAACAACAACAACGCACACAATAATCGTAGATCGCTCGACACAGAGCCCCTTCCTATATATATATATATATATATACAAAATTATCTGGTAGAGTAGCCGACATGTCTTCGGAAGGTTCTGGGTTCGAATCCCAGTCCGAGCTATCTAATAATTTTTTTTTTCTCACATATTCTATACACTCACATTAAGAAGTTCCTCTCCATAATCCTTTCTCAATCCTTTCCTACCAATTATCCTGTTACGTGAATGTTGGAACGCTTCACGTAATAATTATCCGTAACTCCTATTCTTTCCCGCTTCACAGCATTATTTATATTTGTTATTTGTTATATTTGTTATTTGTTATTTATTATTTGTTATTTTCATTTATTTTTTATATATATATATCAAATATGTCTATCACAGAATTTAATAATGTT